CTTCTCACTTGAAATCTCCTGGACTTGTCACTTGAGCCAGGCCTGCAGTGCAGCTCTGGGAGCTCTCTGCAGTGCTGAGACCTGTCCAGGAAGGAGATGCTTCTCAGCCCTTTCTGTCTCTCTGAGTTTTGGTTTGGGATCCTTTCCATGAGCAGAGCAGGTCCCCAGGGCAGTCACTGGTGCAGCCCTTCCCTGGCTCCTGTCCCTGTCACAGAGAGCAGAGCTGTCCCTCTTGCTGCTCCTGAGGAAGAAGCTGCAGCCCCCAGTGAGGTGTGACCTCAGTCCCCTCTTCTCCAGCAGAACAAAGTGCCCTCAGCCACTCCTGTGTGGCTGCACAGTTCTGTCCCAGTCCCTGTGTTCAGAGAGGGAAGAATTTCCAATGTACCCAGAGCAGGATAAGACACAAAGTGAAGTGTTGGTAACAAAAAGGGTAATTCACTTTTATTGGCAGGAATAGTCCCAGTTCTGCACGAGCAGGTTGTTCACCTGTCAGCCCAGGGGTGTGCTCAGCACTGTTACTACAGACCATTGTGGTGGTTTGTAAAGATTTCTTGACATCTCTACTTGTTGAGACTTGAGCAGTTTTTTTATATTTGATAAGGATTAATGGATTAATGGATTTTGAAGACTGACACATTGTTATACTAATGAGAAAGGTTGTGTTTTTGTGAAATACACATGTAAAGACAAAAAAACATGGGAAAGTCTTTTTCCTTTTTGATACCAACTTCCCCAGTCTGGGAACGTGTCCTGAGCCACAAACACACAGGGGCAGGGAATCAAATATATCCAGAGTCAGATTATGACACAAATGAGGTCAAATGTTGGCAATTCAAAGGATATACCCAGTTCTGCCTGTGGGTCCATCATGGCCCTTCATGGCACTGCACCTTCAACTTCAGATCTTACAACAGAGCCAAACAATTGTGCAACAATTCACTCTTTGCCACAAGGGTTTAGGGAGTGTTAGTGTAGAAGGAATGGGGTCAGCTCTGTGAAGGTACCCCAGTGTTTCACTGCAGTGATGTTGTGGTGTAACAGTGCTGCTCTGCAATCCTCAGGGTAAAGAAGTTGTACAATGTGGGATTTTCCTGATGATGGAGAATTTTCCAGCCTATGAACCAAATTTGCTCCTGCCAGTCCTTGTTGGTGTTCCGTGGCCTAAACTCTGAACAAACACACACTTGTGTTTCTCATTGTTGATTTCTTTGTCAGCAGAGTGTTTTTGTTTTGTCTCAGATCACATTCCAGCTGAGGCACATTCTGAAGGCACGGTGTGATCCTGTCCCAGCTGCCAACGGAGCCATCCGCTTCCATTGTGACCCCACCTTCTGGGCCAAGAACGTGGTCAATTTGGGTGAGAAAACTGTGTGTGCTCATTCTGTGATACTGGGAAAACTCTGTTCATCCAACAGGAGTCAGTGTTTCTGCAGTAGTTTCTGGTTAAACAGTTAGTACCACTCTGAGAGTCATGGAAATTTGGAAGTTAAAAGTATAAATAATATAAGTGTTATTTCTCTCTATTGGATTGTTTAGCTTTAAGAAACCTTGTGCAGTACATCTCTTAATGCAGGAGACAAAAACTCTCTTGACATAACCCATCCAGTCCTGATCATCTTCCTTATCTGCTCTGTTCTCTCTGTTAGCAAAGCTTTCTCTAGATGGATGTTGTTTTCCAGTGGGAATGGTTCTAGGAATGGCCCTGGTCACAGAATCACAGAGTGGTTTGGGTTGAAAGGGACCCTAAAAGTCAGCTCATCCCACCCTTTGCCATGGGCAGGGACACCTTCCACTATCCCAGGGTGCTCCAAGCCCTGTCCAACCTGGCCTTGGACACTTCCAGGGCTGGGGCACCCAAACCTTCTCTGGATTGGCACTGGACCAGTGCCATTTCCAGTATATTAAATATAATCACTTAGAGTTTGCAATGTACAGCTTTTGAATGAGAGAATAGGTCAGAGCACAGTGAGGCAGAGGTACCTGTTAGCACCTGCTTGTGAACTTCTGTCTTGGATAAAAATCTCATAGAAAATCTGATAAAAATACCAGCTTTTGTGTGTACTCCCTTCTTGCTCTGAGTCCACCATCCAGGTTGGGGTGTTCCTGTCTTCAGTCAAGGATGTTTCTTCTGTGGGGCAGACAGGAAATAGAAAAGAAACTCAACCTTAATAAAAAGGGATGTTGAGATTCCATGAGTACACATTCACAGTCAGAAATCAACAATTTGCCTTTTCCATATGAAAATAGGACAGGAGTTATCTAGAGAGGCAACATGGCCCATGACATAGGAGCAAGGCAGGACTTGCTTGTAGCAGTGTTTGTGTTGTGTTTGTAGAACCTGTTTGAAGTCACTCAAGGACTCTCAAATATCTCTTCCCAGGCTTTGCTTCTTTAGAGTAGAAACTTTATGCTCAACGTGTTTGTTTTCTGTTTTATTTCTCATCTTGTCCATTTCTTGTGAAGCAGAGTTGTTTCTGTCTGTTGTGGCTTTTTTAGGCTGTGCAGTTCCAGTTCTTTCACTCTTCCCTCACAGATCACGTTTTTAATTTTGAAGTTAGTTCTTGTAGTCTGAGTTCTCTTTTTGCTTTTATCATGTATGGTTATTGAAGACATAAAGAGAAAATTTCAAGCTTAAATTGCTCTGAGAAAACTGCATTAAAAACATCTGAATATTCCACATCTGCCAACCTTTGGAGGATAATGACATCTAACTGTTGATTATTTCTTTTGGATTTTTTAGGTAACCTGGTCATTGAAAATAAACCAGCCCCTAGTTACACTCCCAATGTAGTGGTTGGGCAAAGTCCTCCAGGAACAAACCACGTCAACAAAGCTCCAGGACAAATCAACCTGGCCCAGCTTCGACTGCAGCACATGCAGCAGCAAGTGTATGCCCAGAAACACCAGCAGATGCAGCAGATGAGGATGGCCCAGCCATCCTCTTCATCCGTGCCCAGGCAGAGCAGCCCCCAAGTCATGCAGCAGCAGGTGAGTCCCTTATGTGTTCCTCTTTCACCTGCTTTCATCATAACACTGAGATTTAAAATTGCCCTGTCAAATCTAAACTTACAAAGCAATTTATAAACTAAAAATCTTTTGAGATTTGAGATGCTTTAATGTGACAGCTTTGCTTGATGTTATGTTGCTACTGCTGTAGAAAGAGATGGGCTTCTTTTCTCCATGTTGAAAGCACAAATTTTAAAAAACCCAAACCCTTGCAGCCTCCCAGGTTGATCAGCATGCAGACCATGCAGAGGGGTAACATGAACTGTGGGGCTTTCCAAGCACATCAGATGAGAATGGCTCAGAATGCTGCTCGTATACCAGGAATCCCACGCCACAATGGACCTCAATACTCCATGATGCAACCTCACCTTCAAAGACAAGTATATCCTGTGTACACGCTTCATTTGTGCCATTGTGCCAGACTTTCATTCCAGTAGATGGTACCTCCAGCTGTAAATGTGTTTCTCTGTCCCCCTGTAGCTCACAGCTACACACATTTATATGCTTCTATTCCATGTTGCATTCCTGTGCTGTGACAGTTTGGCTGAACGTAAGGAAATTCAAACCTTAGGGGTGGAAATGAAATCTAATGTTTGTCTTGCAGTTTAGTTTTGGGAAGCAAAACGTTTCATTTTGCACTTTTCAGTGGCATTCAGCTGAAAAGACTATTCAGAGGTTTATTAGAGAATAATGAGGAGTAGTGAAGTTCAAAGTGATGTAGTTGAGAGGTTTTGATTAAATCAGCTGCTGAAGTGTTTTTAAATTCACACCTGAAGCTTTGGTGCAGAGCTCTGCATGCCATTAAGAACAAAGATCCTTGACAATGCATGTTAATGTGACTGAAGTACCAAAAGTGACTTTATATTACTTGAAGCAGTTACTTTTTATCTTAAAGAAAAATTAGACATGTAAACTCTAAAGCTATCTTTGGAGGAAGTAATTGCTTTGAGAAAACACAACTGTATATGAAATAATTTGGTGGAAGAAAGGCTCAAAAAGTGTTTAAAATTGAGCCACATGAAGTATTTTTTCCATTCCAAGTGAAGAAGAGTGCCAGTTGCTCTGCCCTCAGTGCTGGCAGGTTCTGTGCTAGCTGGGAGTGCGAGTTTTGCTCTGGTTGGGGTGAGGTCTGTCCCTGGGCCAGCGTGGTGTCCCCATGTCCCAGCCCCGTGTCTGTGTCTCCCCAGCACTCCAACCCTGGCCATGCAGGGCCCTTCCCAGTGGTGTCAGTGCACAACACCACCATCAACCCCACCAGCCCCACCACGGCCACCATGGCCAGCGCCAACCGCGGCCCCACCAGCCCGTCCGTGTCGGCCATCGAGCTCATCCCGTCCGTCACCAACCCGGAGAACCTGCCCTCCCTGCCCGACATCCCTCCCATCCAGGTCAGTGCTAATTACCAATTAAAGGTGCACACTTAAAATCTTCAGCTTTTCTCTTAGGTGTGTGTGTTGGTTTGAAGGCAAAACCGGTAAGAGACTCCGAGTCAGAAATACAATTTAATAGGGAAAAAATGAAATACGTGCAATAGTACAACAGAAAAGCAGTGCCAGAGTCAGAATAGAGCCTGACACTGCTGGTTAGGGTGGTGGTGCAGTCCAGGTGAAGTGATCTTGTTGGAGTAGTGATCCTGTAGAAATGCCTGGAGGCTCTTGTCCTCAAACCAGTGGGAAAAGGCTGCTCTGCTGTTCCAAATCTCAGTTTTTATCTGGGTAGGAAATGCTCGGCTCCTGCCCTGGCTGGAGCATCTCCCAATGGGATGATGGAATTTTGTCAGCCCTGCCCTGGGACTGCATGGCCATGAACAGGAGAGATCTCCTGGAGGGAGGATGGGCTGTGGGGAAGATAAAGAACACTGCAACAGCTGGGTGAACAGCTGGGATAGAATCCAAACTGCTGGGCACATCTTTACATTGTAACCTAGGGACAGCATGCAACTGTTTTATCCAATTAGGGCTGACCTGTTCCACCTGGTAACCTTTAGATTAATCAATATTTAATGTTTCCTGTGGTAAAATTAAGACTAATTAATCCCAAATAGTCTGTTTGCTTCCTTTCTTCCACAAGAAGACTATCTTGTGGGAAGGTATCAGCAGAATAATTAATAGTGATGTATTTTGAGTACCCTGAATGGTGATTTCTTCAGGGTTAAAGCTGCCTGGAGTTTCTCTTTGATGTTCCTAGAAGGAACAGGGAGCACAGAGGGAACAATGTCCCATTGTCCCACAGAGAGGAACACCAGCTGAGGTAGATTTTGAGCTCATTTGGAGAGGTGAAAAGCAAATGCAATGTACACACAGAGGCAAAGAAAGTAAAAGTAATGTGTTTTCTGCAGGAGTGTTTGGGAGGGGAGGAGGTTCTTCATCCTGTTCATTCAGAACAGGACCTTTGCATTGAAATGCTCATGTATAAAACCCAAGAGATTTGGTCACAATACAGGAAACAAAAATAAATTTCATCCAAGATAGTGTGCTGGAATACCAGCTGCAACTTTGCAACTCTTGGATGTTCAGGGCTGGTATGTTCAGTGTCCTCAGGAGGCTGCAGGTCCTTTGCTAATGTGAGAATGGTGGGGAAGGAGGAATCCCATCTCAGTGTGAGCAATCTGCAGTGCTGAGGCTTTAGAACAAAACCAGTGTGTGGGTGGTTGTGGCTGTTTCAGCTGAGTGTGTGAAGCTCATCAGACACCAAATTAGAAATTACCATGCAACTTCCAGGTGCACTGAAAATGCAGAATTCTGCTAAGATACTCTTCTTTTTATACCTGTTCATATAATAGCAGTTATGGATTTTAGCTGGATTTACTGCCTGGGAAGTGTTAGTCCTTCAAGCTGCTGGCACAGTCATTAAAACCCACTTGGAATGCAGAGTGTTTCAAGCACATTATTGCATTTAACACATTTAAGCAGTTACAACAAGAGAGTCCCTGTTTCCTTGGGTTTAGCAGGTGCTAAAATCTGTTTGAAAAGTGAGTGGGAGATTTCCCATCATGTTAAGAAAAGACAAGATTATGGCTTCTCTTAATATCTTAATTATGGAACAGCTTTTGCAGCCTCAGTAATCTTGTAGTTCATGACTAACACAGCACCATGTGTGTGACCAACACACTGAGCAGTGGAAGTTTGCAGTGACCTTGTGTAAGTGCAGCCCAGGATCATACTGGAAAAACTCAGATTTAGGAGCTTTTGAAAAATGCTACTTGAAGTTTTTGATTAGAAAACCTGATCTCTGCATGAAACTGATAAAATATTTCCTGATGTTCTAAGTCCTTGAAGGGAGAGGGAATTCCAGTAAAGATACTGATCACAGTTTAGAGGTGTGGAACTGGTATGAAAGTTGAATTAAACCTCTCTGATTGAGATTTCTGTTTTTCTCCTTAGCTGGAAGATGCTGGTTCCAGTAGTTTAGATAATCTGCTAAGTAGATACATCACAAGCAGCCACCTCCCCCCACAGCCTACAAGCACCATGAACCCCTCCCCAGGACCTTCAGCTCTGTCTCCAGGGTCATCAGGTAAATCTGATGGGTTTTTCTAGAGATTCCAGAAAGGGATGGGTATTTCTGGTATTTAAGTTGAAAATAATTACCATTTCCTGCCAGAAGGGAAACGATGTTTTAGCTAAAATTTGTTTTGCTCAGGAATAGATTCTTCTGGAAATTGAAATTTTGTCTTCCTTTAGAGATGTCTTTGTAGTAACAAACTCCCAGCACATGGATTCAGTGTTCCAGATACAGGGAGAGACACTGTCAGGGTCATTCTGGGTGTTAATGGTAGAGCTTTTCTTATGCACATGAACAGATTAAGTCACCAGTACCTAATCCTGAGTTATTTAAACATTGAAAATGTCTATTTCTATGAGTAAGAAGATTATTTCAGTTAGTAAGAAGGAATTGTTCCCTGGGAGGGTGGGCAGGCCCTGGCACAGATTTTCAGAGCAGCTGTGGCTGCCCCTGGATCTCTGGAAGTGTCCCAGGCCAGGCTGGACAGGGCTGGGAGCAGCCTGGGACAGCAGAAGGTGTCCCTGCCATGGCAGGGGTGGCACTGGATGGACTTTAAGGTCCCTTCCAACCTAAACCATTCTGGAACTTGATGTTTCTCTTGTTTTTTTTCCACAAGACTTGTAAGATCCTGTAAATGAATGGGTGCAGCAGTGGGGCTTCCTGTGTTTCTCAAAACCTGCATGTAAACCATGCAGAGGCTGCTTTTTTGGCTTTAGGGTTGGCTCTAAGTGCATAAAATTTGAGGCTGTAACGGTCTGAAGGCTTTAGCAGTGTTTGGATCAGGTGAAATAATTATTGGGACTCTAAGAACTGTGTGTGGGTTGTCACTATTTAATGTGATGTGCCAGATTTGTTGTGATTAAAAGACTGAGAGAACAGCTGACTTAGGTGACTTAGGAAATGAAGATATTCCTGCAGCATTTGTGGGGTTACTCAGCATTTGTCAGTGAATGTAAACTTGTACCAGATCAGCTTCTGTGCTGCTGCTTTGCAGGTTTATCCAACTCCCACACTCCTGTGAGGCCCCCCAGCACCTCCAGCACAGGCAGCAGAGGAAGGTGAGTGTCACATTAACACTGTCAGGCTGAAAAAAAATCAGACATTAAGAATTCCAAAAAAGAACTGGCAATTGGCAAATTGAGCTTTGTTATAACCACGACTGAGGAATGGAAGAATGAAGATTTATATTTTTAATTTTTTTCCCTGCACCATGATTCTCCTGTGTATTGTAAAGTGGAGCTGTTGTAAATGTTCTGACACCCTTTGCCTTTCTTTTGGCAAACAGTTATCTGAATTTCTTTGCCCTGTTGATTTATCCTCTTATTTATCTCATGATGTGCTGATGTCTTTGCAGCTGTGGCTCCTCGGGCAGGACTGCTGACAAAACTGGCATTGGCTTTAAGGCTGACCAAGTGAAAGTAAAGCAAGAGCCAGGCATAGAGGAAGAGATCTGCAGTTTCTCAGGGGCAGTAAAGCAGGAAAAAACAGAGGATGGCAGAAGGAGTGCTTGCATGGTAAAGTTAGTTTATGCCCAGTGTATTGTGGTTTTCCTGGCAGCATGTTTAACAATTTGGAAAGGGAAGAGAAAAACATTCTTACTCTAAAGCTTCATTCTAAGAGGTATTTTCTCCCTGGTAATGCCAGGCCCAGGGTGGCCTGTAATGTGAATTTTATCTTTAATGATGAAAATGAAGTGTAAATGAAGTGTAATACAGTGTATTTGCTGCTTTTAATCCCTGATTAATAAATGCTGTGAGTCACTCACTGATAGTGGACATTCCCACATTGGTAATTGCATTCAGAAAATCTCCAGTCAGTCAGAAGTTCTTAGACCAAAGTATAAATCAAAGAATTGGCAAATGAAAATTTTTCAGTGTTTCCCAACTGTGCTTGATTGAACAGGATTGTGTACAGGGAGCAGGGTGGTGGAGTTGAGGATTTTTCCTAATGACAATGAAGTTGTCATTAACAGCTTTTAATGACTTAGTGTGTTTGGCTTGTTATAGCATTTCTCATGTTATGTATCAGAAGAAATGAGTGTGTTCTTCTTAGAAAGGACATGTGAAAAAGCAGTCTTTAATACTGCTTTTTAATTTGTTCATTTATGCACATGAACAAATTCAGTCACCAGTACCTAACACTGACTTATTTAAACATTGAAAATATCTGTTTCTATGAATAAGAAGATTATTTCAGTCAGTATGAAGCAATTCTTCCCTGTGTGCAACTCAGCTTTTCCTCACGATTTCCCCTGATTTTTTGGGTTATGAGCACGGTACCTTTGAGTGGTGGGAGGCTTTTAAATCCCACCACAGGCAGAACCATGCTGCTGTAAAATCAACTCCATTTCTCCACGTGCTACTTCCATTCCAGCTCAGCAGCCCCGAGAGCAGCTTGACACCACCCCTATCCACCAACCTACACCTGGAGAGCGAGCTGGAAGCTTTGGGGAGCCTGGAAAACCACGTGAAGACAGAGCCAGCAGACGTGAGTGAGAGCTGCAAGCAGTCCGGGCACAGCCTGGTGAACGGCAAATCTCCGGTGAGGAGCCTCATGCACCGCTCGGCCCGAGTGCCTGGAGAGGGCAATAACAAGGATGACGACCCCAACGAGGACTGGTGTGCTGTGTGCCAGAACGGGGGGGACCTGCTGTGCTGTGAGAAGTGCCCCAAGGTGTTCCACCTCACCTGTCACGTCCCCACGCTGCTCAGCTTCCCCAGGTACCGACAGCGGGACTGGGGAGGGCTGAGGTTGTGAGCTCTGGGAAACGAGGTTCACTTTCCTGGTAAAATTTAAAAAGTTTGATGAAAGATAATAAAGAGACAAACAATAAAGCAAAAGTATTCAGCCAAGAGCACACCCACTGTTTTGGAGACACCCCTTAAATTTATCAGCCCGTTGTGTATTCCAACTTTTCTATAAATTAATTTCTGTATTCCAGGAACTGTTTTGCATGGCCGCTCCTTGAGTCTGTGTTTTTAGAGCATGTGTGTTTCTTGGCTGTGCTTTGAATTTATTTTTCTTATCAGTCTTAATTTGGGCTTCAATTAATGTGGTCTTCAGTTTGTGCAGATGGGCAGTGCTGATAGCTGGTGTCTTCACTGGGTGTTATCCAGTCAAGCAGGCAGTTCATTTACTACAGACACTTTAGCAGCCTGTGTTACTCCTAAAGAAAACTGTATCCTAAAAACCATTTCAACCCCACACATAAAGTATCCACCCTAATATTTGCAAAAAGCCAATACCATAATCTGTATTTATAACATGCACAGAACCCAAAGTGGTGTTTGATCCAAAATCATCTTGTTCTGGGTGGTTTCTTGTACTATAAAAATATGACATTTCCAAAGCCTTGCCTAAGTTGCTTGTGTGTAGCTGATCAGTGATAACAGAATCCTGTTCTGTTTATCTCTTTGTGTAAAGTCTCATAATGATTCTCTTGTGTAAAATTCATTTTAAAGCAAGGTGAGAAAGGTGTTATAAAGTATTAAAGCATCATATGAGGGCAGGAAAAATGGCCTTGACTGGAATTATTGTGAGCATTAAGGGTCATTCCTCAGCTTTGGGTATCCAGGTCTTTACTGCAGTACAATGTGAATCTGTAAGAGTGAGTAAAGACTATTTGTAGTCAGCACTGATGAGAATTTATCCCTGGATGTGTGGAATAATTGTGTTTTTCTCTTCAGTGGAGAGTGGATATGTACATTCTGCAGAGACCTGAGCAAGCCTGAAGTGGAATATGATTGTGACAATTCCCAGCACAGCAAGAAGGGGAAGACTGCACAAGGCCTGAGTCCTGTGGACCAAAGGGTGGGTCTCAAAGCTGCAGGAATCTCCTTCCCAGGAAAAAGTGTTTTCTCACATCAGCTACCCCCACTGACTGGAGATGGTTTTGCTTTGGCTGAAGCAAATTAAATGTAGTGATGGCTTTGCAAAACAACCCAAAATGATCAATGAGATTTTTCCTGCTGTGGCCACATCTCCAGGTGTTGGTGGCCGTGCCCCAGTGCATTGGGACTGTCATCACTTAGGAGCTAAAATTTAGCATTAATACAAATTCTGTATTTAAAGGCATCATTTAACATGGACTTAATTAAAAGGCCTTTGTGTTTAACATTGGTGTCACCTTCATAAAATAGTTCTGTAAGTTTGGTGTGTTGGAGTACCTGTGAGAGGTGCTGGGAATATTCTGGTGCATTCTTGGGGAATTTTAATGACCTTGACAATCAGAATTATTTTTAGCTTTTAGCTTTATTTTTAATTTTAACACTGTGTAGTGTTAAGAGTATTATCAAAACAAATTCCTCTGAAAGAATTACAAGCAAAGAAAGGAGAAATGTTTCAACAGGGAATTTATAGAAACTCTGGCTCTGCTTTCAGAGTGTTCAGTTTTGTCTTGTGGGAAGAGAAAAGTCTGCAGCTCAGTCCATTTCTGTTACATGTGGCTGTGGTTGGACTAAAGCAATAAAAGTGGTTGTAGTTGGTATTTTATTTTTTTTGCAGCATGTTAGCATGTCTCTCCATGCCTGACTTCAGCCTTAGGCTTTTGGTTAGGAGGGATAAAACAAAGAGGAAATTTGTGAACAGTAAATGAGGTTCTGCCTCTCAACTCTGCCCTCCTAAGAACTTTACCTTTTTAAATTAAGTTAAGGAGGTTGCATTTTAATTTTCTGGTACTAGGCTGTTAAAGTACAAACCTTTTTAAAGTAGGGAGGTGTGAATTTCTGGGCTAGGGAGAAATTAAGAATATTAATCTGAGCCTCTTTATTTCTTTATAAGAAATGTGAACGCCTCCTGCTTTACCTGTACTGCCACGAGCTGAGCATTGAGTTCCAAGAGCCAGTCCCAGCCTCGGTGAGTCTCTGAAAAACAGCTTGTGATTTATATTTGGTATAACAGCCCTGGGAGTTGAATTTAGGAAGGAACTGACTGCTTTCACCAGGAGCATGTCTTCCTTGATCAGTCTGAAAGTTGTGGCAGTCATCCAGCATTTCATGGGGCTGAGAGGGAGAGCAGCTGATTCTGGAGCTTCTCCAGGCAGATGCTTCACTCCCAGTCTCAAAAACAGGTATTTAAAAATAATTCCAATTAGCAGTTACTGAATTGGAACAAGATGTCTCAGGATAGCCATGAAACTCAAAATGCTTTAGGGGAGCTTTTTGTTTCTTTTTGGATAAACTTTTGAATGAGAGGAGGGAAGAAGCTGCTTTGACTCTTGTGTTCTCAGCTGTAAAAGAAGTAACTGTAATGAAAAGCTTTGCTGAAGGTTGGAAAGGATCCCAGAGTGGTTTGGGTTGGAAAGGACCTTAAAGCCCATCCAGTGCCACCCCTGCCATGGCAGGGACACCTCCCACTGTCCCAGGATGCTCCAAGCCCTGTCCAGCCTGGCCTTGGGCACTGCCAGGGATCCAGGGGCAGCCACAGCTGCTCTGGGCACCCTGTGCCAGCCCTGCCCACCCTCACAGGGAAGGATTTCTCCCCAGTATCCAATCTAAATCTACCCTCCTTCAATTTGAAACAAATCCCCCTTGTCCTGTCACTCCATACTTATAAAGAACTTTTTTAACAGTTTGAGCAAAGGAAATTGTTCTGCTTTGCTGAGCATGCCTGAAATGTGTGGTGAGATTAAGGGATTGATGCTTTCAGTGTAGAAATTCAGCTGTGGGCTCTGCAGCCATTCAATGATAAATCACTGCTGATGTTTTACAGATACCAAACTACTATAAAATCATCAAGAAACCAATGGATTTATCCACGGTGAAGAAGAAGCTGCAGAAGAAACATTCCCAACACTACCAGACCCCCGAGGACTTCGTGGCTGATGTCCGGTTGATCTTCAAGAACTGTGAAAGGTTTAATGAAGTATGTTAACTTCCAATCTCAACACCATTTGTCAGTTTAGATGAAGATTTATTTCAACCTGGTTGTGCAGCTTCTCCCATGAAAGGCTCTGCTTCCAGCTGTAACTTCTGCCTTTGGAGCAGATGCTGAATCAGACACTTAAAAACCAAACAAAACTCAAGGCAGTTGCAGAGTAACTTCATTTTTAGCTGAATTGGGAGAGCAGAGGGAACTTCTGAAATGTATTCAGTGGTAACTGTGAGTGAGGAGCAGAGTGACCTGGTTACTGTGCATCAGATGAATTTTAGAAATGCTCAGGAAGTGCCATAAAGACAACTAAAGAGTCCTTAAAAGTGTCTCAAGCTGCCCAGGTAATTGTTTTACACTCATGGAGCATGATAGAATCCATTGAGAAACTTCCTCTACTGAGGAGAAATCTGCCTTTCTGAAGTTATTCTGGTTTTAGTATTTCACTCAGGGTGAATCCAGCAAAGCTTTTTTAACCTTCCTGCTTGAACTCCTTGGTACTTGGGCTCTCACAAAAGTCACTTTTCATTGGATAACCTGGGTATGGGGTCATATTTTTTACTAATTTTGCAATGATCCCATCTGATAATGAATTATCCCTTACGCCTGAAATGTGACTTGGGGAGATAAATGATCTGAATGTTACTGCTAGTGGAGCAATGGAAAAAATAATCTGAATATTAAAAAAAAAAAAAGGTAGTATTATGCTGAAACTAAGTAGGAGCTGAGAGGAGTCCTGATCTTTTAGATGCTTTAAAGCAAGGATGACAAAATGCATCACAGGGAATGGCTTTCTTCTGTCCTTAGGAAATCCTGGCAGAAATCAGCCAGCATTTCTTATTTCTCTGTGAAATGTAACCTGGACTTGCAGTGTTTGAGCTGCATTTCTGGCCCTGTGCAGAAGGAAACTGAAGGAACTGCACAAAGCTACAATTAAAACCTCCCTAGGAAAAATCAGGGTCAATGATGTGATGCTGGAACTGCTCACAAACATTTGGGACTTTCACAGCCCCAGCTCCTTTATGTCCCTGCATTAGGGGAGGTTCATGAGGTAATTAAGTGAACTTCTCAATCAAGGCAATTAATGAAGCTTCTAGAATGAAACTCTAGAGGAAAACATGCTGCAGCTCTTAGAGACCAGAGTACAACAAGGGAGGAAGGACTGAGGGATGTGGTGATTTTTTTTTTTTTCCTCACTTTTTAAAAAAAAGAAAAAATGTGTTTCAGCTTGCCTGGCTCATGGCAAAAGTCGAGTCACTCTGACCTCTTACAGCAGCATCATGTCGAGTGCCTCTAAGCCAAAAGCTTTTCCAGAGCAGAAATGCAGGTGGGGTAATCCCCAGGAAAGCTCCTGGAGCTCTTCCCTCCAAAGGAGACTTCCCCACTATCGTGTCCAGGCAACTCCAATTTATCCTGGAGAAAGCAGTCACGAGTAGAAAATGGCTGGGAGCCACTTGTACAAAAGTTGTGTGTTCTGTTGAAGGTTTATTTAGCACCTAAGACTGTTTTAAACCTGCTGCCTAAGTTTGGGAACTAAAGCTAACAAACCATAACAAACTCTGTTGTTGTTATGGCTGACTTTAGTCATCCAATCCTGTGCGATCTCATAACTTTAGAAAGGATTATAATTTCATTTTTTTTGACTCTGGTATCCTTTTTAGATGATGAAAGTTGTTCAAGTTTATGCAGAAACACAAGAGATTAATTTGAAGGTAAGCGTTTCAGACCATGCACACTTGGTGAAGGGATGTGCATTTCCAACAGGTGAATATTCCTGTCTTCTTCCATCCACAGGCTGATTCAGAAGTAGCACAGGCAGGGAAGGCAGTTGCATTGTACTTTGAAGATAAACTTACAGAGATCTACTCAGACAGGACCTTCCAGCCTTTGCCTGAATTTGAGCAGGAAGAGGATGATGGTGAAATAACTGAGGACTCCGATGAAGATTTTATACAACCACGTAGAAAACGCCTAAAATCAGATGAGAGACCAGTGCATATAAAGTAATCTAATGATATGGACCTAAAATCTATTGTAAAAACTGTTATTTAAGTGTTCCTGGAATATTATCATGCCTACAGTGGCCATCTTGAAGAAGCTGATAGCTTTTTAAACAGTATTAGATAACAAAAAACACTTGTACAGAAAAACATTCTCATCAAAAGGGGAAAAAACCTGTATTGTAAATTTTTGGTGGTTTGTATTTTTTTTTTCCTTGATTACTTGCTATATTCTTTCTTTTCCTGATGGAGGGGACACATTCCTCCTGGTGTCACAGACAGAGGTGGAGGAATGTTGAAGAGAAGCAGATTTGAATAGGAGATGTTCCATGCACAGATAAGACTGTGTAGTGACACGATCTGCAGGACTGGACCCACTCAGTGACTGAAGCTTGCATTGCCCTGCAGTGCCAAGCGTGAGCAGAGCTCCTGAAATCCCCTCTGTGTCCACTCAAGTGTGTGTTGGTCGTTGCTTTGATCATCTCATTGAAGCAGGATTGTGAATAATTGATCTTCTGTGTCGATCCAACTGTTGCCATTTTGCTTTCTTTACTCCATTTTATGTATAGCAACAGGAAGAAGAAAGAAAAATCATTAAACTGTTCTGAATGGGCGAGTGCAGGAATGTGGATTTTTGGCAGGTGAAAGGCTAAGCTGGTGGCTCCAATCCCTTTCAGTAGGACAAGGTGTATTTATTAAAAGTCCTGTACCCAGAACATTTTAATGGCATCCATGGCAGAAGTCTCAGCGTTGTCATCTGTCCCTGACCCCCTGACGAGGCAGAATGTTCTCTCCAGTATTCATTCTCTAGTTTTCTGTACTTAAAATATAGACTGAAGAGGTAATAACTGGTTGGGGTGTTTTTCCAGTCTTCCTAAATATCAGTTTCTAATAGACCACTCGGCAAACAATAACCTATTAACTACCAAATGTGTAAAATTTCCTGTATTCACTTTGTCTTATTTGTAAATAGTGAATTGAGATTTCTTGCAGGTCAGCAACATTTGCTGAACTGTTTTTAAGCTAATATGTATTCTTATTGATTGTTCCTATCAAGAAAAGATTTGTAATATATGCTATTTCTAACATTGCATTCATTTTGAGGTTCTGTCTTATTTTTCTTAGAGTACTTCTCAGAATTTTCTTCAGAAGCAGCTTGTGAGGGAAACGTGCAGGAAGATTGGAATCAGTCTGAGTTTGGGTTGCCTGTCCATGCATTGAACAAAGCACTTGCACAGGGTTTGGCCTTGAGTGGTTTTTGGTCAGAGTGAGAATGGAACAATTTCCCAATTCCCTCAGTAGCCCCTGAGGCACCTCTGCAGTGCCTTTCCCTTGCACTGCCTCCATCCCAGCATTCCTGGTTAGAAATCATGGAACCACAAGGAGTTACAGCTCAAGAAGTTGTTTTCTTTACTTTTTACAAGTCAAGAAATACAATTTCTGGCCTTCATGTTGATCTTGTTAAAGGAAGTTGAAGAATTGATGGAACCAAGGAGCTCGAGGTGGCAATGTCAGTTTGCCATCCTTTGTGTGATCCAGCAGTTGTGTGGGAGATCCCTGGGCCTTGGTGTACTCAGAATTCCTGTGACATTGAACACGCTTTGCCATCATGGTAAAGAGAAATATTTTAGCACAATATCCAATTGAGAAATGCTCTCAGCAGTCTTTATGCAAATCACTGCAGATTTGGTTTCTTTTTTAAGAACCAGGTCTGTGTACCTTGGGATTCTCCCTCTTGCAATAAATGAGGGGACTGAAGATATTTGTAACTTCCAGCTCACTTCTTTACTCAAATGTTACACTTCAAACTCAAACTGGTTGGTTTTGGTTTTTTTTTTCATTTCTTAGACATTAACAGTGCTGTTTTAAGTTTATTTTTTACCAGTTTGTATGTGAAAGGAAAAGGAATTCCACTTCAACATATTAAATTGACAAAGAGCAACAACTTTGCCCGTGGAAAGGCTGATGTGTGAATAGGACACTGGTAGTGACAAGGGATCATTTCATGGCTCTGTGTATTGCCTATTTATGCATTTCTAGTTTCTCAGCTTCATTTTGCAAAAGGAATATTATTAAAATTATCATGAAAATAAGATTCTGTGAACTCTCTTCACTCGGGGCTCCTGTTTTTATGGCACTTCTGGTACCTTCAGGCCTCACCCTTTGAGAGCTGGGCAGCAGCTGGGAATTGGATCCTGGGGATGAGCCAGAGCATGGGATGGGCACGGGGGGGTCCCAGATGGGGCACAGGGGGTCCCAGATGGAGCTCGGGGGGGGAAGGACTCACCCCAAACCCTCCAGGGAGGTTCGTGCCCCCCCAGCTGCTGCAGGAACAGAACCCTGTGCTCCCCAGAGCAGTTCCCAGGGTTTTGGGACAGCCTTTCCTTTGAGGTGGCCTCTCCAGCTCTGCACTCCAGGTGGAGAACTCGTCCAGCTCATGCTCAGCATCTTCTGCACACCAGGAGTGCAACTGAGCTGGACCTTGCTAAGCCTGAGCTCTTCCCTTGCACAGACCCCACTGAGCCTGCAGACCTCCCACCCATTCCCCAGGGCTCTGTAGGACTGGGTGGAATTTTGAGTGTGTGCAAGAAATCTCAAGTGTTCTTTTCTACAAGGAAACAAAATATTCTCTCTTTTTTTCTTCCCCTTCATTTTTGAACTCCCAAAGCAGCAATTCAGTCGTTGTTTTGAAAGCAGCAAAGTTCTATTTGAAAGGGTAGATAAATTCTGCTAATCCCCTCCCTGGTCCTGTAGTCTGGATGTTCATCACAAAACTGGAAGGGTTTGCTCAGTGGAAATAAATTTTTGGTGCCTCTCTCTTTTGTAGCTCATTCAGGAGCAAATTACTGGGTTTGTATTAATGAGCCACTAATTCTCTGGGCATCTTCTCCGTGCCAGCTGCTGGGTGTGCAGTGTGTGAGTGTTTTACCTGGGGAATCAGAGCACAGTTTACATCAGGAAATCTGTAAAATTGTGATCCCATGGGTGGCAGGAGAAATCTGGCACTTGGTGCAACTCTGCTCTCATTTAAAAAAAAAAAAAAAACTCCCAAAAAATTCCTGTCTCCGTTTTGGCTGAGAATTTTTGTTGCCCGTGAAGTTTTAAGTTAAGCCAAAGAAGGAAAAGGCAATTTGCTTTTGAAATGAGAGTGCAAAGTGCTCCGTGTGAGCTGCTCACTGACCTTGGCAGGTCCTGCCTGGAATTCCTGGTGATGAGTGGGAATTCAACACCTAAAGGGCTCAGGGCTTCTCTTCAGCTGTGCCCTGGAATTAAGTGGCCTAGAGCACAATAAAGCAGAGTTGTCATCCAAAAAATGGGTTTTACCCAACACCTCAAGCAGAAATGCTCAGTTTAGTGGGGAGAGGTTGTTCCCCTGTGTGGGATCTGACACTTCACTGTGACACTCTTCATCCTGGATCTAACATTCCACTGGAGAAGTCCTTAAAATTAGCCCAAATTTCTGTTTTATCACCTGGTTTTGGCTGATCTGGAAAAGTTTAGATTTTTGCCACAGTATTTTGAAGCTGAGTGTGTGATGTACTGGGAATTGGCTTTTCCCAGTTGGCTTTTCCTTGTTTTTCTCACTCTCTTCCTTGGAAAAAAGCAATAAAACTGCTTTGTCAGCTGCCTGTCAGCATGACAGGAATCCTTTCCTTTGGATAACAATTTTATAGGGAAGTTTATATGCAAATCAAAACCTAGCTTTTAAAAACAAAGTGTGCAGCAGTTCCTGACAGTATAGAGTGTGGCATTTTATTAAAAAAAATTGGAGAAAGTCCCATATTTTTTTAAGAAGTAGCTGTTTGAGCAAATAATGGAGGTACTTTTTTAAAATAAAAATGTGAATGCCACAGTTTACACAGATGGCACATAGGGGTTGTATCTTTGGGTATGGTGATTTATTTTGTCTTCTCAAACTGTGTTTGCAGTGACTCTTCCATCTACTTCGACTTGGCTTATGGGGATCCTTTTTTCTGTGCTTTCTAATCTATCAGGATTGAAGCAGCTTTCCAAAATTGCAGTTAATTTGGGATTCTTTATTATAAGTGGACTATGAAGTGTATGAAATGCAGTTTGGGCTTTTTCTGTTGAGTGAAATCACAGCTCGAGGCTGCTGTCTTTAGAATTTGAAGAATTTCTACAAAGAGAGGTACTGGAATATTTTGAAAGGTGGATTTTGGCAGGATTCAGTCTGCAGTGAGCTCCCCTGGACACCTGCAATGAGGGAGTTTTAGGCTCAGAACACCAGGACACATGTAAATAATCCAATTCAGATTTGTGCAGTGCAAAGCTTGTTTGACATGTAAACATTCTCCTGGAATGGTTAAATCATGGCATTCTTTGATTCTTCAATTATTTCCTGCTTCCAGTACTGGAACTGGCTCATTTTGCACATAATAAACTTGCCTCATCTTTTAATATGAGTCTTCAAAAAAAAACCAAGTGCTGTTTCTGTGATATTGTATTATCTGAATCATCCTATTTAACTTTTTTTTTAAAAGTTATTGTTTCTAATTGTTCTGTTCCTGTGGTTTTTTTTGCTGGTGTGTAATTAAAAAACAGAAATTTTTCTTTCCCTGGTTATTTAATATTTTAGCTGCCTGTAAATATTTCTTGTTAAGTGCTCTGGAATGTGCTGTAGAAGTTGTATTAGCTCAGTTTAAAGCATTGTTTGGAACCCATTTTGGTTGGTTATTTCTATTAAATTAGAAAAATCATTCTTTCCATTTGAGTTTCTTTCTTGCACATCATCAGATCTGGATCCACACCTGCCAAAAGACTTTCCTGGCAACCCCTGCAGTGTGGGAACAGGGTGAAACTTGGGCTGCAGGAGCCCAGGTGAGCCCAGCTGAGGCTGCAGAAAATGATTTGTCTCGTTTATCTGTACCTGGGCATGGAACTCAAGGGTCTGGAGGTCTCTGGACCTTTTGCCTGCAGTGAAAAAGCTGCACACCTGGAATTGTGCTGTGTTCCCTCACCTGGAGCTGCAGTTTGGTGGATGTGCCTTGAGCTGCTCCCCACCACTGGGAAATCCCATTTTTTGGGGGTGGATGTTGCTGCTGGAGCAGGGTCCTGATTTTCCTGCTCAGAACTGGAGCTGAGCTTTGCAGATGTGTGGCTGGAGCAGGGACTGGTCCTGGTTCTGCCAGGAGCCCTGCAATGATTGCAGCTCCTGCCGTGCCCAGCTCAGCACAGAGCTGCGGGGAGGAAAGGCACTGAGTTTGCAGCTCAGCCAAAATTCCCTTGGAATCATTTCTCTGCAGCCAGAGAGGGAGAGCTGGGGCAAGCTGGAACCAGCCTGGGGGTGTCTGAACTCCCCAAACCCAGCTCAAGGCTCTGATCCACGCAGGTCTGTTATGTACCAGTAGCTCCCTTCAGGCTGTGGCTCATAACAAAACTCCAATTTTTCTCTCACTCTTTGTTTATTCTTTAGGTGCCTGTGGTGGCTGGAGAGTCACAGAGGCTCCTTGGTGAGAGCTGTGTTCTAGGACAAGGTTCACTGAGCTTCACTGAAGCTTCTGCTCCTGCTGAAACAAAGAACACCTGATTGATTCACTGCTGCCCTTGCTGGGCTCTGCTCCGGGCCCAGAGGAGCAGGTGGTTTCTGTTTAACCCTTGCATTTCCAGCCCAAACCCTGCAGCAGGGTGTGCTGCTGGCCCTGTGTGTGCTGGTGCCTGAGTGCCCAGCTCAGCCTCCCCAGAGCTGCCAGAGGGGGTCTCGGAGGGGGCTTTGGTTTTGTTATTTTTTTTGTTTGTTTTTGTTTTGTTTCCCTTTGCCAGGTGCTGCCTGGCTGTGTCCAGAGCACTCCCAGCTCCTCCAGCCCATCTGCTCAGCTCTGCCAGCCCATCTGCTCCAGCTCTTTGGGAGGTTGGTGTTGGCCTTTGTGGCTGGGCTGGCATCTGGCATTTGCAGCTCCTCTCTTTGACTCTGCTTGGATTTCTTTCTCTTAATGCCCTGGGTTTAATTCTCCAGGCTTTAATTAATTCTCCTGGCTTGCTCCAATGACACTGAGCTGTTCACCCCATCACACAGTGCTGCTCTTCAGTTCCAAATTTTCATTTCAGCCCGGGGTGAAAAATCCCATCCCAAAATCCTACCAAAGATTAGAAATGGCTGCTAAACCCTTCAACCCCTTGCTGCCATTGTGGAATTCACATCATTACATAATCCCAGAACGGTTTGGGTTGGAAGAGACTTCAAAGTCACCCAGTTCCACCCCTGCCATGGCAGGGACATTTTCCATTATCCAAGCTGCTTCAAGCCCCATCCTACCTGGCTTTGGAGGGGTGTGGATATCTCTGTAGACACAGATGATTTTGGAGTTATTGTTGAGATGATGAGTCTGGATGTTCTCCAGAGCACGGGAGCACTCCAGGCTTTCCTTCCCCTTGTTAATCTCCCTCCCCAGTGAGCTCTGGGTCACTGCAGTGCCTGACCAGGCTCACAGGGGCTGAGCTGCATTCCTGACTGCCCCCGTGTCCTTTGCTCAGAGCTGCTGGAGCAGACTGAGCAGAGCAAAGCACTTCAGGCTGAGCAAACTGCTCCTTGCCAAATTACCTTCCTCGGCTTCCCCTGGGCTGCAGCACAGGGCTGGCTGGTCTCCACTCGGGTTAATGCTGAGGAGCTGGGATAATGTTTGCTAAATTAGCAGGGTTTAAAACCAGGAGTACAAATTCCTGCTCCTCTCATTAACACATCAGAGATGAGCAGGTTTAGCACAGACCTTCAGTGGGCACCAGGCTGGGTCACAGTGGCCGGGGGTGCTGGGGGACTCCTCGGCAAGGGCAGGCAGAGTGTGCAGGGCTGGGTCTGCTGCTTCATCCTGGAGCTGGACAGGGCTGGGGGCAGCCTGGGACAGTGGGAGGTGTCCCTGCCCATGGCAGGGGTGGAATGGGATGAGCTTTAAGGTTCTTTCAAATCCAAACTGGTTTGGGATTCTGTGATCTTTTGGGATTCCGTGATCTGCTGCCTGGCCCTTTTTGCACCCCCAGCACTGCCCAGGGGCAGAATTTGGTGCTGTTTGTGCAGCTCAGCCCCAGGCACAACCTCTGAGGCCGGGCAGGATGAGCCACCCCAACTAAACCTGTCCAG